GACAGTACTATCAATTAGTAAATAAAGTCTCGCATTTTATGCTTATTCGCAGTAAAAAAAAAAAAAAAAAAAAAATACCTTATTTATAATTTTTTAAATATAAAAATATTATATTTTATTAATTTATTTTTATAATTATTAATATAATTATTTATTGTTGTATAATACAGTATATTTTAATATTTTACTGCAAATTTTAATAATTTTATAATATAATATAATATTTAATTTATTGTATTTATATATAAGAAATATTGTTTTTTTATAATATAAATCAAATAAAAAATAATATATACTCTAAAATAATAATAATAATATAATATATATAAATAATATTGCTTTATTAAAAATTTTATATATTAAATACGTAATATTAATTATTTAAATTACGATAACAGATAATAAAAAAAATAATAGTACCGTATTTAAAATATATAAATGATTTGAATGCGTAGATATAAATAAATATTAAAATATATGCATTCTTTATATGCAATTTGTAATTTTTATGTATTATATAATAAACCTGTATAGTTTTTATGTAATAATATTATAAGTTATTATATGCTATCGATTTTTATATGCAATCGTATATGTTGTATGCACTATAATCATGCGATTATGATATCTGCTAGTTTTTTGTATTTTTAATTATCTTGTTTCACGTTAGGGATTTGCTTGATCTAAAAATAATCGATTAGATTTTACAATTACATCAGAAATAGGTATCACAAATAAAAAAAAAATGGCAACAAAAATATAAGACGCTACTCGAGTTTGCATCTGGGATTGTGTAGAAGACAATAGTTTCAGCCCCTGAGAATTTTTGTGGCGTCTGTAGTAGTTAAGACCGAAATTTTTTCCTAGACACTCATCGAACTTGCAAAAATGTCAGCGATACCTCGCCAAAGAAATTTTAATGATGATAGTTTGCGTTTAGAGGCACTGACTCACAAATCTTTTCATTACGAAAACCCTTCAACCGGTCCTCACAACGAACGGTTAGAATTCTTGGGTGATTCCATCGTCTCTTTTGTTGTAGCTAACTACTTGTTCGGTCGTTTCCCTCATTTCAAAGAGGGGCAGCTTACTTTACTACGATCCAATCTAGTATGTAAGAAAAAATTGGCACATTTTGCTCTCCAACTTGGCCTGGATACAGATATCCGGCTAGGTGTTGGGGCTCTGAGAAACGGTGGAAGAACTAGTGAAAAAGTTTTGGAAGATGCATTTGAAGCATATATTGGCGCAGTATTTCTTGATTCCGGTTCGAGCTTGTTTGCTGTTCAGGAGTTCATGGAACCTTTATTATCTCCAGCGGTTAATGAGTTGACCCGTTCCCTGCAGACTACGACGCTAACACAACAAGATATTTCAAAAACCGATTCTTCAATCGGAGTGGAATCCCCTGATCATGTTCTACATTCGGATCTCCAAGACCCAATCAATAAACTGCAAACTTGGTCCCAACGTAGGGGATTAGGCATTCCGGTTTACAAACCTTACGGTGAAGTTGTTAACGAACATAATGGAAATTTTACCGTCGGGGTTCTTATCAATGGCAGATATTACGGGCGTGGCAAGGCACGTAACAAAAAGGATGCCAAAAAGGAAGCCGCCATCAATGCCCTTAAATATGTCACATCAAATGTAAACTTTAACCCCGGAGTATTTAAACAAGTCACGACAAACATCAACAATGGAATAAAAACAATGCGAAATGAAATCCCTCCAAATGTTTACCGATCCAATTCCGTGTCTTTGAAAAATGGTCCCATTAATTCACGTACTGCAACTCACCCTAACAGACGAAGATTTAATTAGGTCATTCTTTGATTCTCAAAGTACCGTAATCTTCTGTGTAGATCAAATCTCTTTTATGAATAACCTAATCCTTTTGACGAGTTGATTCACACCGAAGGTTATTGTTCTTTTTGTTGTTTTTGAGGTAGATATTGAGTGATACTTTTTTTTTTTTTCAGTTACAAAATTCCTATTTAATTGTATTGAGATTGTGGATGTTGATTTGTCTTATTGAGTTCATTTGAATAAAATGACGAACGGTATAGCGTATAAAATTTTTTCGAAGCGAAATTCTTACAATAAATTTACTTTACGTTAAGAATAGAGTTAAAAAACATCTTGAACTTTACTTTTTACTTAATTCCTATTAAAATTCACATTTTTGTTTAAACAAGATTTAATTGGTTCGGTTGTTATTGTTTGTTGATCCGATTAGGTGCCTTTTATAGTTTACATTATTAATTGTTGTGATTCAAAGTTTTTCGTTTTCTTAATAAATACTAAAATCTTTTTTTAATAGTAATAGTTTATTAATTATTTATTTATTTACCAACCCTTTTAATAAT